TGAAACGTCTTAAACCGGGTTGCTTTTGAAGCAGCTGACCTGCATCATCCACCAGAGGGCGGTAGACGAAAAGCAGAGCGTGCAGCAGGAGTCCTGTGTGCACTGTGGTGGTGATGCAGATCCAGGGAAGGCAGCGGCGTTCCGATTAGCCCGGGATGATTCGTTACTGGAGAGTTGGCTGGGTGCGCTGTAGCGTACAGTCATGGATGAGGTGAGAGTGCTTTCAGTGGTAGCTGTGTATGAAAGGTGAGGACGTACCTGAGAGGTATGTTCTGTGTGTGTGTGTGTGTGTGTGTGTGTGTGTGTGTGTGTGTGTGTGTGTGTGTGTGTGTGTGTGTGTGTGTGTGTGTGTGTGTGTGTTGGACAGAAATAGTACCTGATCCTGACAGGAAACACAGCAGGATAATGGCATTACCTGGACAACAGCCAATCAGGTGGCAGTTTGAGTCCTGCCAGGCTCTAAGCCAATCAGAGATCACAGAATGAGTAGATCATTAAATGGAGCAAAAAGTCCCTGAGTTCTGACTGGCAGGCACTGTTCATTCAGAGAACAGCCTGCTGTGGTTGACAACGTTTGCTTGTTAAGCAGGTAAGTTTGTTTGTTCTGTTCTGATCCGACTCTTTATTTCCCGTTTGTTGTCCTGTTTAAAGGGACCGATTAGCTCATCTGCTCAGACTATGTTCTGGATTATTGTTCCTTCTTGTTGAAGCTGCTCATCCAACTCTGGGTAAACCCCAAACTGTAATAATCCTGTTTAGGTGGCGCTCTATGTGAGGATGTGATTACTTATCCTTATGAGCTCCGAGTCAGTGACATAAATGTGGTGTTTGTGTTTGTTGTTGGGTTTAGGATGTTGTCAGGAGTTCTAGCATCACTCTCCTGGCTGCAGCTCAGATGTCCGTCACTGACAACCTGTGCTGATGCTCCTGGTCTGGTGGTTTCTGCTGAAGGGAGCTGAGCCGGTGAAACAGACGCAGACCCATAATATCAGCTCAGCTTGCTGGTCCTGGTATTGAATTAAGTGGCAGCAGAGCATGTCGCTGTCTTAGTCATTAACCCCCCCCCCCCACAGACACACACCCACCCACACACACAGGGACGGTGGACGGGAAGCTGGGGCTCCTCGTCTAGTCTGGGTCTTCTGACCTGGACAATCTGATGTTTGGTGGGTCTGTTTTGTTGTTTTATTCAGTGAGAAGATGATTGATGTCTGCTCCGTTTCTTTGTTTAAATCAGTTTAAACCATGACGACAGGAAGAATCCGCTTTAAGGACACGGTTTTTAATGACTTTTGTCCTAGAAACGGACCAGGACTCATTTCTTTATTCATCTTTTTGGTAAATCTGAAAGAGTATTCAGGACTGTCCAACAGATTTAAAAACAGCAGCAGGTAAAAGCTGTCCACTGAGTCACCGTGTAGCGTCACACCTTGTAGTGTAACGACTGCATTTATTATTATTGGTTGATATTCTATATTTATATGGAACATCACATCTTATTGGTCGTAATTGGTGAATTCAGTGAAGTTGAAGTTGTAATGACCCATGATATAGAATATCAACCTGATTGATCTTTGAATGTTTAAGATTATAGTTACTTTTTCTTGTTCAGGGACCATAAACACACTTCGTATCTGAAACAAATTGGGAAATCTGGGTGTAAAAGAATTTTGGTCTGCTATAAACTAGAGAGTTTATTATTAATGAAACAGCATCAGACGCAATCTGTTGTGTCTACAAACCCTGATGGAGACCCCCAGCAGATCCGGACTGTCAGGAAGTCGGGTGGACCTCAAGGCACTGAAGTTTGTAGAATAACCACAGTACGACCAGTCCGGTCTAGAGGTGTTTCCAGGTCACAACAGACAGGAAGGTTCGCTGTGTCTAACACGGATGTGCTCCTACGGAGCCGTGTGGCTGTGTCAGCTGGCAGTGTGCCAACAGGACTGACTGTGTGTCCAAGAGGGAGGTGTTTCAAGGAGGCCGGTTCCAAATTGGCCACTTTGGAGTTCCGCTCGAAACGGAATAACTCGGGAAGCCACTCTAGTTTTATTAATCCACCTGTTTTGATTTCTGTGAATCAGAATTTGACACGTTTGTCGGCGTTACCAAACATCCCCCAGAAAGCCACACCTCCCAGATACAAGCTGTTCTAGTTCTGTGGATAAAGAATCTTTAAACTTCATGTGAGGTGACCTTAACCTGAATTTGCATCTAATGAACATCGTGTATGAGTGTAGATAATGATTCACTTGTTAAATCAAACAGTACTGATCATATGGTATAAATGGGTCATTGTAACTTCAACTTCACTGAATTAGGCACAGATTATTCAAACATTTCATATAACATCTGGTTCATTCACCCATATGATTATTTATGATTATTTAACTTATGAGTTGTAAAAGTTCACTTTTCATCCAGAGAGTGGAATCCAGCAGTCTGAGATAAGTTTGACAATCTTGTCTTCATGGACCGTCAACAAGCCCTGCAGAATCTTCTGGGTGTTAGAAGATAGAACAAAAAAATCTACCTAGATAGTGGAATTACGTCTGTAGATGACCGGTCACTATGTAGGCCACTATGTAGGCCGCTATGTAGACCACTATGTAGGCCACTATGTAGGCCTTGTTAGGCGATGTCTCATGTAGGCCGCTATGTAGGCCACTATGTAGGTCACTATGTAGGCCACTATGTAGGCCACTAATGGGCCATTCCCATCTGTACCGGGTCGGCCCGGGCCGGGTAGCCCCAGTTGGCCCCAGCTTGGCCCGGTTCATTCCACACATCCTTGCCTTAAGCCCATGTGGGCTGATTCTACCCACCAATCAGAGGCTTGCTCTAATGGAAGGTGTGAATTTGCTGTCAGCAGTGGGTGTGTTGGCCCTGGTCGGCCTGAAGCAGACCCCCTTGAGAAGAGGGCTGAGAATGAGCCTTGGTTGGCCCGCAAAAATACCAGGCCACCCAGATATGTAAACAACCTACGCTACCCGGCCCGGGCCGACCCGGTACAGATGGGAATGGCCCATAAGTAGGCCACTATGTAGGTCACTATGTAGGTCAATGTGTAGGTCACTATGTAGGCCGCTATGTAGGTCAATATGTAGGTCACTATGTAGACCACTATGTAGGTCACTATGTAGGTCAATATGTAGGTCACTATGTAGGTCAATATGTAGGTCACTATGTAGGTCAAAACTGACCCTTTCAGGACGTTTCAACCGGAAACCTCTAAATAAATGTATTCAGATTGTGAAACGCAGCTTACCCTTTATAAACCACTTCGTAACTTGATTGGTTCAATTGGACCCTTACATTTCACAACAGTGTTGATAATCTGGTACGGTGATAGTCTGGTAAACATAATACTCTTTCGTTGTGAAACATGATGGCCACACTGAGTTTAACATGCAGGATGAACATGAAAATGTTCTCCAACCCCATCACCTCCATTTGGCCCAGAAAGGTAAACGATTGGGTCAGAAAAAGGAAATTAGCAATCGAGTAAGACCTTACCAACGGTTGGCCATCAGGGTCAAAAATCCCTGGGAGCGTAACCTCCAGTAAAAGACGAGAACATCAGACTCTCTTTCTTCGCTGGCAGGGAGTGAAGAGATGAATGTGTAAAACAGCAATGTTAACGGTGAAAGCTTAGTAATCGTTTGTTACAAATAAGTAAATGCATTTTGTCCTCACGGGCTCCTGTAGAAGGAAGTGTCACGTCTTAACATGGCGTCTCCCAGAGACTCGGGGTGTTTCTCAACGTCAAGGCGCCTGGCCTCGTTAGGCGATGTCTCATCAGGCCAGGCGCCTTGCTTACAAGGACACAAAGAAAACGGTTAAAGGAACAGTCTTGCATCACTCGACCTCGGTGGTCACGTGACGTCATGTGACACGTGAGATAACGTTATATTTTATACGAGCCTTTTACTTTTTAAATTGTTTATATTTGTTAAATAAAAAATACAAGCGAGTTACTACCTGCTAGCCACCGAAACTAACCAACCACAGATAACTTCTTTGGGTCTAAAACACATTTTAAATTAGCTGACTTACATTTAAACTTGAAATTTGCCCCCGAAGTAGCTGCCGGCTTCCGATCCGCCGTCCATTTGAAAATACCGCGGTGTATTCTGGGTAATTTTTGACCAAGGCTAGGCTACAAGACACCTCCCGTGTATCCTTGCTCAGCTAGCTAAACGGCTAACAAACGGAGAACACACACCTCGGTAGAACATGAACATTGGAACACGTCTGGGCGGCTCCTGATGACTATCTCCTAGGCAACCAGGGCGGGGCCAAGACATCAAGGCGAGGTTCCTTGGACTTGAGAAACACCCTTCGACCCGCCCCCATGAATTTTAGACCCGATTTTTGTGGTTATATGTTAAGAAGCCGCCAACATTTTTCATCAACCGGGCATCATTTCATTCATTAGCAACAACATCTGAAAGGATATTTCTAGAGTTTAATGGTAAAAAGTTCTGAAAGCTTGAAATAATAAAAGGCTTAATGTTATGACTGAGTTGGTACGGTCCTCTGGTAGAGGTGAACCAAACCCTTCGCCAGCCCCTGGAGAAGTGTTCCTGAGCTTCAGTCATGCTAGAGCGTTGTTTCGTTCTAGGCACGCTCCGATAGGGTCCTGCTGCCGCTCACATTTTAGTGATGATTGGCTACATCACCACAACAAAAACATGCTTTTACTCTTTCATAAGAAAGCACGTGAGAACCTTTTAGCACAATCAGTTTATTTGTTTCTGATCCTCCGACTCACCTGGGTGAGAGGCAAAAGTCCTCAGGGTAACCAGAGAAGTCCCGTTGTTGTCGTTGCTGCAGGGGATGAGCTACACCTGATTAGCTCCTGGTTTGTTTGTTGTTCAGAGGTTCTGGTGTGAGGACACACCTCACGAGAGTCTACAGCCAATCAGAGCGCAGCACTGACATGTCCACACCAGAGTGGCACATTTACACCTGAAGCTCCTCTCTCCTGTCTGTTTCAGCACCTGGCCGTGGATGTGAGGAAGCTGAACGTCGGTCTTCTCCGGTGGTTTCGGGAGGGCGTCGCAGCGGCGCTGGGCGTTCTGGTGAAATACGTTCACATTCAACAGCTGAACGTGAGTTGCATTACGCCCCGCTCCTTCGCTGCCAGCTGACTGGCTGTCTGACACACGGCTGCTTTTACAGGAAGAGAAGAACGGCATCGAGCTCTTTGTGTCTTCTGATAGGCTGGGCGCCTCTGAGCCCCGCTCAGCTGAAGAGGTCATCCAGTCACTGAACGTCAGGGTGCTTCACCGCTACCTGGGGCACTTCGGCATCACCGAGGTCTCGTCTGAGGTGAGACCTCAGTAGGAGCTTCATTGGTTACCATGGAGACAGACAGAGAGGCTGTTGCTGAATATTTAATAGAAATCGTTGAGAGCCATCACTCAGCTGGAGGAGCGTCAGTTTAATCCTGTATTAATGTTATTACTGAGAATGTTTTACTGCAGCGGGAATCTAAATGATCCGACCCATCATTCCTTTCAGGGTTCCGTATCTTCACCCAGTCACAATTCTACATGTTGGCTTTACAAGTCAAACACAAACTAAATGTGATGAAAACACAAAATTCTGATCTTTGTGAGCTTAAATGAAGATAACATTTTCCGAAGACAACCGGACATCTTTGGTTTCATGAAGATCCGAGGAGGATGGCGGGTTCTGCTATCTGCAAGTACTAGTAGCCATCTTGACCTCCTCACCTGGTTTTAATGCATTTTAAACCTGCATCACCACACACCAACCTACAATAACACACACACAACATTGGTCCGTCTGGGGGTGAGTTGCTTCTGCCCTCTACCTTCTGTCGGTCTGGGGATCTGAAGCTGCCTGCGGGGCTTTAAGGATGGGTGTCCGTGAGTTGGGTATGTTCTGGAGGTTCTGGTCGCTGCTGTGGGTGGCTGGGTTGGGTTGGGTTGGGTTGGGTTGGCCTTGGCTGCCCCATTTTTGGTTGTCATTTGCGGGGGTGTAGGGTTGCAGGGATTAACCGGTTTGACTATTAACCCCGGTTAACCCACCGTAAAGATGTCTCAAACACTGCCAATAAAAACTCAAAGACAATAGCATGACCTGCATGGATAAAGACTAAAGTGAAAGTGAACACGAGCACGCAGCAGAAGCAGAACCAGTGAGGACAACCATCAGGAATGCTCCGTGTCCACCTAGGAGGCAGTTGAAGTCTCCTGTGTTGGAGTACATCTAAAGTAATTAAAATACTTCCACGCAGTTTCACCTTTGTCCTTGTCGGTGCGAGTCGCGCTATTGTCTTTATGTCTTATAGATGGTGTTGGAGACGTCTTTATGGTGGGTTAACCGGGGTTAATAGTCCAACAGGTAAATCCCTGCAACCCTATTGGGGTGGACCCTTGGGGATTGAGGTTGTCTCACTCTGGGCTGGTCTGTATTGGTGGGGGCAACAGTGTGTTGAGGCTGGTGCCCGGTCGTCTTCTAGCAGGCCCCCTTCTTCCCTGGGCTTGGGTCTGTCCTCTGGGCCGGCTGATTGGTGTCCGTCCTTTGATGGCTATCGGCTATCAGTCTCACCCTCCAGCTATCCCTCACTCGTGAACAAGACCCCGAGATACTTAAACTCCTCCACTTGGGGCAGGACCTCATCCCTGACCCGGAGAAGGCATTCTACCCTTTTCTGACCCAAGACCACGGTCTCAGATTTAGAGGAGCTGTTTCTCATCCCGGCTGCTTCACACTCGGCTGCGAACCGCTCCAGTGAAAGCTGAAGATCACGTTCTGATGAAGCCAACAGGACCACATCATCTGCAAAAAGCAGAGACCTGATCCTCAGGCCACCAAAACGGATGTCCTCCACACCTTGGCTGCACCTAGAAATTCTGTCCATAAAGGTTATGAACAGAATCGGTGACAAAGGGCAGCCTTGGTGGAGTCCAACTCTCACTGGGAACGAGCCCGACTTACTGCCAGCAATGTGGACCAAGCTCTGACACCGGTCACAATGGGACCTAACAGCCCGTATCAGAGGGTCTGGTACCCCATACTCCCGGAGTAACCCCCACAGGGCCCCCCGAGGGATGCGTTTTAATGCCTCTGAATCCACAAAACACATGTAGACTGGTTGGAGTTAGTCATAAATAATGCTGTAAAGTTTTGTTTCTGCATCCCTGCTCTCCCCTCTGAACCAGAACACCTTCTACCTGGTGACGCGCCGAGCATGCGTGTTCATGAGAATGGGAAAACCACGGCGGGAGTTTCAGACGAGCTCTTTCCTAAAAGAAACAGCTGTGGATCAGTAGTCTAAAAACAACTCAGAAACTAGCATGAATCTGTTACCGTGTATGTTACAAGTCTTTTTTATTGGTACTGACAGTTGTACAAGAGCTTTACAGTACTCAGCATAAATGAGTACACCCCACTAGATTTGTCACAAAACCTTTAGTTTCCTTTCAGAATCAGCAGGTTCTATGAGGTTCCATTCTACAACAAACTCCCACAAAGGTGGGCCACTGATGGCAAACAAGTCCGAGTTTTTGGACGTTAAACCAAACCGTTCCTCTTTGTCTCTGCAGAAGAACATCCTGCAGGGCAAGCAGAAGGATCCCGTCTGGAGCGGAGAAGGTTTCTACGCCCTTTTCCTCTTCTTCACCGTCTTCATCATCGTCATCACCTGTTTGATGGTAAGTTGTCATGCAGCAACTCTTTTTCTAATCCTTTTGTATTCCATAAATCTTTTCCTGTGAGATGACAACTTGAGTATAGAAGCAAACAGAGCCTCGTGGTGAACTAGCTTCACTGCTCAGCATTCCTGCAGGGTTTTCTCTTATAGTTTACTGTTTTGTCCACAAGAGGGCGCTGCTCTACACAAAAACCTGTAATGCAGAAACACTTCCTGTCTGTCAGAAATCCTCATATCCTTCCATTTCTACAGCTTCCTTTTAGCTCAGCTGATGTTTGGGGAATGTCCGAGCAACCTCCCGGTTTGACGAGTGGAGCTTCTTTTCTCCGGAGCATCACAACAGGGCTTAACACGCCTGATGAATCTTTTTAGATCTTATAATACAATTACTTCAATAAGAGTTTTGGAGATTTTCATGACAGACATGGCGTCTAATGTTCAGCCTGATGGTTATTAATGCTCGAGTTAATTTACAAAGATAGTTTGTGTTAGTTAGTCACAGACTTGAAGGTATTTTATAAGTTCTCAATCCATAAAATGTAGATGCTGTTTTTGGAGAAAAAAGTTGAAACGTTTTTCTTGCTTATGACACCTGACACATACAACCAGTCTTTAGTTTCAGTTTTTCATTCAGGGTTGATGAACCAGAGAAAAAAAAGGCCTTTAAAAACAAATCGGCTCATTAGAATGTTTGTGTTTCTATACATGGACTTCCTTTGAAAGACGTTCTCTTGCTAAAACGAGCTAAATAAACGGTCGTGAAAGTTCTGAAAAACATCAAACTACACGTTAAGGGAAAAGGGCTTTTTTTAAGTAATACCAACAAGAAGAGTTCATGCTCATCTCTTCCTCTCTTCAGGTTTTGTATCGAATTAAGGAGAAGGTTTCAGAGAAGCACCTTAAAGCCCCGCCCCCGGACTTTCACCTGAACCCGCCCATCCCTCCTGACCCTGTCCGGAGGTCAAAGGGCATCAAGGTGTGAGACACACTCCCAACCTATGTCTGCTGACTAGTGTGAGGTGCTGTGCTTTGATTTCACAGTAACAGTGGTGTTCTTCAGGTTGTGACGTCAGAAAGCATGGTCCAGTCTGAGCCCCCACCTGCTGTAGCCACACCCATTCACCAGCAACAGCCAATCGTAGCCTGCCGTCACCTCACTCCTCCTCTTGTGCCTCTACCCAGGTGAGCATGTGATTTCTCAGTTAACTTTTATTTATACTGGGTGCACCTTTGGTGCATCTACAGCACGTTACAGCAGCAACACGTTACGGCAGCAACACGTTACGGCAGCAACACGTTACGGCAGCAACACGTTACGGCAGCAACACGTTACGGCAGCAACACGTTACGGCAGCAGCGAGTTACGGCAGCAACACGTTACGGCAGCAGGGTGTTACGGCAGCAGCGAGTTACGGCAGCAGGGTGTTACGGCAGCAGGGTGTTACGGCAGCAGGGTGTTACGGCAGCAGCGAGTTACGGCAGCAACACGTTACGGCAGCAACACGTTACGGCAGCAACACGTTACGGCAGCAGCGAGTTATGGCAGCAGGGTGTTACGGCAGCAGTGAGTTACGGCAGCAGCGAGTTACGGCAGCAGCGTGTTGCGGCAGCAGCGTGTTACGGCAGCAGCGTGTTGCGGCAGCAGCGTGTTGCGGCAGCAGCGAGTTGCGGCAGCAGCGAGTTGCGGCAGCAGCGAGTTGCGGCAGCAGCGAGTTGCGGCAGCAGCGTGTTGCGGCAGCAGCGTGTTGCGGCAGCAGCGAGTTACGGCAGCAGCGAGTTACGGCAGCAGCGAGTTACGGCAGCAGCGAGTTACGGCAGCAGGGTGTTACGGCAGCAGGGAGTTACGGCAGCAGCGAGTTACGGCAGCAGCGAGTTACGGCAGCAGGGTGTTACGGCAGCAGGGTGTTACGGCAGCAGCGAGTTACGGCAGCAGGGTGTTACGGCAGCAGCGAGTTATGGCAGCAACACGTTACGGCAGCAACAAGTTACTGCAGCAACACGTTACTGCAGCAGCGATTTACGGCAGCAGCGAGTTACGGCAGCAGGGTGTTACGGCAGCAGCGAGTTACGGCAGCAGCGAGTTACGGCAGCAGCGTGTTGCGGCAGCAGCGTGTTACGGCAGCAGCGAGTTGCGGCAGCAGCGAGTTGCGGCAGCAGCGTATTGCGGCAGCAGCGTATTGCGGCAGCAGCGTGTTGCGGCAGCAGCGTGTTGCGGCAGCAGCGAGTTACGGCAGCAGCGAGTTACGGCAGCAGCGAGTTACGGCAGCAGGGTGTTACGGCAGCAGGGTGTTACGGCAGCAGCGAGTTACGGCAGCAGGGTGTTACGGCAGCAGCGAGTTATGGCAGCAACAAGTTACTGCAGCAGCGAGTTACGGCAGCAGCGAGTTACGGCAGCAGGGTGTTACGGCAGCAACACGTTACGGCAGCAACACGTTACTGCAGCAGCGAGTTACGGCAGCAGCGAGTTACGGCAGCAGCGAGTTACGGCAGCAGGGTGTTACGGCAGCAGCGAGTTACGGCAGCAGCGTGTTGCGGCAGCAGCGTGTTACGGCAGCAGCGAGTTGCGGCAGCAGCGAGTTGCGGCAGCAGCGTGTTGCGGCAGCAGCGAGTTGCGGCAGCAGCGTGTTGCGGCAGCAGCGAGTTGCGGCAGCAGCGAGTTGCGGCAGCAGCGTGTTGCGGCAGCAGCGTGTTGCGGCAGCAGCGTGTTGCGGCAGCAGCGTGTTGCGGCAGCAGCGAGTTGCGGCAGCAGCGAGTTGCGGCAGCAGCGAGTTGCGGCAGCAGCGTGTTGCGGCAGCAGCGTGTTGCGGCAGCAGCGTGTTGCGGCAGCAGCGAGTTACGGCAGCAGCGTGTTACGGCAGCAGCGTGTTACGGCAGCAGCGTGTTACGGCAGCAGCGTGTTACGGCAGCAGCGAGTTACGGCAGCAGCGAGTTACGGCAGCAGCGAGTTACGGCAGCAGCGAGTTACGGCAGCAGCGTGTTTCGGCAGCAGCGTGTTTCGGCAGCAGCGTGTTTCGGCAGCAGCGTGTTACGGCAGCAGCGTGTTACGGCAGCAGAGTTTTACGGCAGCAGAGTTTTACGGCAGCAGCGTGTTACGGCAGCAGCGTGTTACGGCAGCAGCGTGTTACCCCAGCAGCGAGTTACGGCAGCAGCGTGTTACCCCAGCAGCGAGTTACGGCAGCAGCGTGTTGCGGCAGCAGCGTGTTACGGCAGCAGCACGTTACGGCAGCTTTTTACACATATTCCATTTTTGGTTCTTTGGCTGCGGCTGCAAACATCTGCAGAGCTGAAGCTGATGGTAGATGGTGGATAAACGGAGTAGGAAGTGACGTCACCATCAGCGTCAGCTCTGAAGATGTTTGCAGCCGCAAACGAAACCGTTGGCAAGGTAAAGAAAAACCTTATCTGCGCTTAAAAAGAACCAAAAATGTGCCGTCAAAATGGGATTTGGTTCTGTTCTTGACGGGGCGTGCTCCCTAAACATGTTGAGCTCCTTAGTTAACTAACAGGAAATCACAAATGGTATTGGAGTAAAGCATCTGGTAAATTTCAAAACAAGACAAATATAGATTTGTCATTCCTTAATGTAAACAATGCATCTTTATCAGTGACCAAAAGGCTCATTGGCTCCCTGCATCTTTTGAGGAGAACAATGTCTCACGGTAAGGTTTCTCTACAAGTGTCCAATATTGAGTCTGAGGGGCCACAGACTGCCCCCCAAGACCCCTGGAAGATGAAGAGGATCCGAGCCCCAGACATCTAAAGGTGCCCCTGGAGTATGAGAACCCCAGGAAGACCTCTGCAGAAACACGTAGAACAGAACAGAACGTCCTTTAGGTCAGAACCTGGATCTGACGAGGTCCAGATTCTGATCCAAATTCATTTTCTTTACCGTCTAAACTTCTTCTGCGTAACTCTGATACATTACATCATAGTCTTACGTGTTTTGTCATTTCCTTGTAGCCCCGCCCCTTTGCCCATCATCAACAGTGACGACCACGCCCCTCCAGTGAGCGTTGCCCAAGTAACCACCAGTAACGAGCTGAGGCCCTGCCCCTCCCCCTTCAGGATGAAACCTGCTGCGGGACTACAAGAAAGGTGGGAGCAGGTTCAGGTTCTCCAGAGCTGTGTTCTAGCCTGGTTCTAGTAGATTTATCGTGAAATAATCGTGCACTCTCAGTTTTGACCCTAACCCATCAAGCACTAAGCAGACGCGTCTCTTCAAGTCTTCAAGTCTCACTTGACGACTCACTTTTATTTGGTGACCTTTCAGCGATAGGGTTCATGACACTAGCTTGATGTTGCTATTGGGGTTAGGGTTACCCTACCAGAAGGTTGTGGGAGGTGCTTTATGTTTATGTAGGATTCAGGCTTTAGCTGTGACCTCATGTCAGCCGCATTCAAGGAGCTCTTTTAAACTTGGCTGCAGCTCATTTCCTTCGTCGGGTCCCTGCAGTTAAGAAAACATCTTTATCTGCTCCTCAGCTCAGCATCCAGCACTTTAAACTTTATCTGCAGCGCATCTCTCTTCCCTTTACCGTTAGCATGTTCACAACATGTCCCGGACCGGAGGCCATTTTGTTCTGGTCCGATGAGCGACGGAGAACTGCGCGGCTTCTTTAGGTCAGACAAGGAAGGAAGATCTCAGACTTGAGAGTGAGAACAGGATGTTTTTGTTGTTGTCTCTCTTTGTGTGTGTGTGTGTGTGTGTGTGTGTGTGTGTGTGTGTAGTCTGGACACCAGCCAATCAGCAATCAAACAGGGAAACCAGCCAGTTTTTAGACGAAGCAAATCAATGCACACACACACACACACA